AATGAGCTCATCCCGTGAGCGTGAGCCGCCGCGGGGCTCCAAGGGTGGTAAATCTCCGTGGCTGCTTTTGTGGGCATTCGTGACTTCCCTGCATCAGTCCGTCCCCTGCTCAGCCTCCCCTCTCTGCCGCCTCCCTCCATAATCAAATATGACAAGAGAACGGATGTGGAATGCAACCCGTCCACACACGATGTGCCTCCTAGAGTGGAGCGCTTTTGTTGACCGCCAGCAGCATTTGGGAAGGACTCGGGCAAGGAGCAGCAACGCCAGGGAGTGTTTTCAGAGTGAGGACCGGAGACAGAAAACACTTGCTAAGGAGGGCGGGTCTGATACCTCAATGCACCGAGATTCTTGGAGGTTGATTTTTCTTGTTTTGACCTAGTTACAAGAAGCGCCTAACGACGGCTTCGAAGACCTCGATCACCGCATATGAGAGCAGAAGCTGTTCTTTTCTCCGTTCTTTGGATCATTCAATCATCCAGGGCTGTCTCTGGAGCATCGACTCTGTGCCTGGCCCTGCACTAGGCTCGAAGCAAGCCGGCCAAAACACTGTTATCGCTGTTACTGACCAACATTTGTTGAAAAGGTACCACGCACTGCACCTTGAGCTGGGCACCCAGGAGCATCGTCTCATTTGAATTTGCATAACCTAGGAAGTAGCTACTGTTCATGTCCTCAATTTACAGATGAGGAAACTGAGTCATGAAGTAGCGCGCTCAGGGTGAAGCCGGGAGGAAGTTCACGGCCCAGGCAAGCCGTTCAGATCTTCCCTCCCCATCATTTGAACTGTGGGCAGAGTGACTACGGGATTCAAGCACAAACTGAGGCTCGCTGGTCCCCCAGGCAGGGTCTAGACAGGACAGCTCTGTTCTTCCGCTCCTGGTGCCACACTGGTCCTTTTTTATGCCAAGCCTTCGGCGTCCCCCACCTTGTGCCAGTAAACCCCTGGGGCTTAAGTCATCCGGAACTGGCTTCCAACCATCAGAGGAGGGGAGTTTGCACCAGCAGGTGTTAGGCAGCGAGGACGGGGTTCACGTGTGAAATGGGGTGACAGGCTGTGTTTTCCGAAGATGGCTGCAAAGATGTCCTCTTCTGGAGCCTTGCCACTTCCCCACGGAGCGGTGGGGTCAATGCTCCCTCCCCTTGTGCCTGAGCAGACATCTGCACGTGAGAGGAGAGACATTTTGTGACCTCCACGCCTACATCACCCATGTGCCACGCGCTCTGTCTTGCCTCCCTTGCGATCCAACGGCCATGCTGCATGGGATGTCAAACCACGTGGAGAAGACAAGCAGAGGCGCCCCGCGTGCAGCTCAGCGGAGAACAACTGTCATCGTCAGATGTGAGTGACAGCACGTCCAGAGGATTCCAGCCCCATGCCATGGATGGCAACCCCCCCTCCCCTGCCGCCTTCAAGTCTGCCCAGCTGGGGCCGCAGACATCATGGAGCAGAGACTCACTACCCCTGCTGGGTCCTGTCCACATTCCTAACCCGCAGAATCTGAGGACCTCACGAGATGCTGGCTCAGCCCTGTGGCACTAGCGGCTGGAACTGATGAATGTTTGCGAGAGCTGACCTCTAGGAGCATGTCCCATCCAGAAGCCTCCGAGAAGTCACTTCCCACCAACAACACATCAAGGCAGGGCTGCTCACTGCTCTGGGGACCCCAGCACTTCCCGGGTGGGTCTGAAGACGCCCCGAGCCCAGGATCTAAAAATCCAGGCCCACGTGCTCCGCAGACAAGGAATCTGCAAGAAGGTTCGGACGTCCACCGGGAAGAACACCTCCTGGGGAAGATGCCAACACAAGAGGGAAATTGCAAATTCTTCTGAAGGGTGAAACCTGTTTGTTATTCAGGGAAGGATCCTTGGTATCTCAGGAACATCAAACACACCAGAGCGGTCATGGGCCAGGGCGGGACGGAGCAGGGCGAGCAAACGGGGTATGCAAAACGATAGCATTGGGAAATTACCCAGAGGGAAACAGAATGTCCTGAGCCGGCGCAGAATCTCATTAAAGTCTTTGTTTGAAGCGGCGGTCTGTTCCTGTCACTGCCGCGACCCGGCCCTCTCTCTCCAGAAAACCGAGCGGTGCTCACGCTGGGGACAAGGACAGTCTAGACGCTGACTCTGCCATGCGTGCATGCCTGTCCCCGGCCCCCTGCGGTCGTCCTTGTCTTCATGTGGTGACTCAGAGGACAGACACCTGAGTCCGGATCCTGTGTGGCCTCTGGAAAGTTTCTAGGCCTCTGCTTGCTCATCCGTAAGAGAAAATAAGAGAATCAATCCTGACTTTGCAGAGAAACCTTACTGTCCAGACAGAACGAAAGCATAGGGCCTCCCACGCTGTTACTCACTGAAGACTGTTCTCAGCCCAGTCCTTCCACTCCATCTTAACGAACCCTCCCTCTACAGAGCCCCCAGCCACACCGTCCCTGCCGGCTCAGCTCCCCGACTTCTCTGCTCCCTAGAAACTGCTCAGTCTCCCCGGCATCTCCGGGTCAGAAACCAGGACGTTGCCCAGAAGCAAGAAAAATCAGGCAAGGACTCATATTGACAAAGAATCATAACTAACGTTATTTCTCATCTTCACGTGTCAGCTTTAACATGTGAAGCCAGTCGGCCCGAGGCAGTGACGCCGGGAGCCAGATTCCGTGTGAGCCTGGTGGTGGGATCCCTGCAGGCCCCGGGGATTGTCCAGGGCCTCCCTGTGACACCATCTCCTCGTTCTGCAGACGCCTGGGAGAGGCAGAGGTTTTAATCCGGGTAACTGGCTTTTCTCCTCGGGACCATACCCGGTGAGGCCCGAGCGGGCTGCCCGGGGCCAGCAGCAGTGGATGCAAGCCCCCAGCATCCTTCCCAAGCCCCGGGAGGAGTCCAGCTGGGAAGGAGTCCCCGATCGCAGAGGGAAGAGCGGGTGTGATTTCTCACGACATTTTCCTCAACCTGAAGGGAAAGAAAGTCAAACAGAGCAATGGTTTGGCAACAGATGGTGAGCGAGATCAGTTGGGAACGTCTCTTCTGGGGTTGAAAGGAAAGGCGGCAGAGATGCCCCTGCTGAGGGGGTCCCCACTCCCCCACCTGCCCCGACGTCTTTATTTGCTTGCCTACAAAGCTTCAGCCCAGGGGAGATCTAATGCAAAGCGCTGTCAGGCACCATCCGTCTGAGCCAGCGTGAGCGCGGGTCAGAAAGCACGGCCAAAAAGACAAAGCAGAGTCTGAGCTCAGTCACCATCCAGGCCAGGCTGCGGGGAGCAGGGGACGGGGATGCAGACGCGGGTTCCCGCAATGGCCACTGCAGAGCCGGGCCATGAGTGACGACCCTGGGCAGAGGATGCTCACAGGAGGCCGGGGCGGGACAGCTGCTGTGTGGACACGAATCCACGTCACAAAGGCCACAGACTGCCTCTGCCCATGGCAGGTGTCCCAAACCTCAGCCACGTACATGTGCCCAGACGTCCCCCAGGCGTGTTGACATCAGGTGCCTCCAGATGTGAAGCAGTGAGGAGGCAAAACGGGGCAGCATCCCACGAACCCAAAAGGAGCGACATTCTCCCAAATCACTGGCCGGCGCTCTTGGCCACGTATCAAGGTCATGAAAGATGAAGACGGACTCTGGAACTGTCCCAGACTGGAAGGGGATTAGATTAGCTAGGACTAGATGCAAAAGGGGGTCCTGGACTGGAAAGGAGGGTTCAGAAGAAAACCTGCCAAGGGTCCCACAAGATCCGCGGGTGAGTCAGAAGCACCAAATCGGCGTGAATTCTCCGGTCTCGGGGATCATCCTACGTTCTGTAAGCGTCGGCATCAGGAGAAGCTGGGGGAAGGGCGTAGGGAATGCTCTGTACTGTCCTCACAACTCTTCCGGAAGCCCAAAATTATTTCCCAGAAAAGTAAAAGAATCAGACCACAAGCTTCGTGCACTGATTTTTTTTTCCCCTGCCAGCACCTCTCAGTTACTATGAGAATTAAGTAAGACACTATTTGTAAAGTGCTGGGCGTGGGGATCGGCTCGAAGAGGGTGGTCGGTAATGCCGACTTTGGGCATTTTTAAACTTCCGAGGCTGCCACCGAGCACCAGCCCCAGTCCTACTGAGCAGCTCTTAGACGGGGGCGAGGGCAGCTCTCTCCCCAAAAACCTCCTTTTCCACAAGTGGCTTCAAGATACGGTGTCAGGAATATGGATTTTACCACGTGATTTCACTCCTATGTGGAATTTAAGAAACAAAACAAACGAGCAAAGAAAAAAAAATAAAACACAGAGAGACACAAACCAAGAACAGACTCTTGACTAGAGAGAACACAGTGATGGTGACCAGAGGGAAGGGGGTGAGGGGCATGGGGGATAGGGATTAAGGAGGGCAGCTGTAGTGATGAAAAATAAATAAATAAAATGAAATGGGTGGGCGCCTGGGTGGCTCAGTTGGTGAAGCGACTGCCTTCCACTCAGGTCATGATCCTGGAGTCCCGGGATCGAGTCCCGCATCGGGCTCCTTGCTCAGCAGGGAGTCTGCTTCTCCCTCTGACCCTCCCCCCTCTCATTCTCTCTCTCTCTATCTCATTCTCTCTCAAATAAATAAATAAAATCTTTAAAAATAAATAAATAAATAAAAATAAAATGAAATGGGGAAAAAAGAAAAATCAAAAGTAAGAAAAAAAGGAATATGGATTTTTTCTTATTATTCTTAAACTATGTAAGTTATATATACCCTTGTATTATGATCTAATTTTTAACTTTTCAAAAGTAGCTCTTTTCTTCATGAAATAAATTTCCATTTTCAAAGGAAAACTTGCTATCACGACCAAAAGCGAAACGCGAGGGTCACTAGCCATAAAGTAAAGTTCACCGGCAAGAATAAGTACAGTGGTTAGGGGCGTCTGGGTGGCTCAGGTGGTCAAGTGTCTGCCTTCAGCTCAGGTCATGATCCCAGGTCCTGGGTTCGAGTTCTGCATCGGGCTCCCTGCTCAGCGGGGAGCCTGCTTCTCCCTCTGCCTCTGCTGCTCCCCCTGCTTGTGCTCTCCTGCTCTCTCGTTCTGTCAAATAAATAAATAAAATCTTTAAAAAAAATACAGTGGAAGCAAGGTACTCCCACCCACCAGTGGTCCCAAGCTAGAGCCTCTTCCCTTGGTGTCCATGAGAGAAGTCACAACGGTGGGACTGTGTCCCGTCCAACCGGGACTATCCCCGGGATGTAATCAAAGAAGCGAAAGAGATCTGAAAAGTGAATCATTTTCTCACTAGGTGAGTTAATGATATATCTATGCATCTTTTAAAATCATCTCTGGGACCCCCTAAACACCACATACCATTGTGGAACAACGCTGCTCTTTGGAAACCCCATGGTGAGGTCTGAAGACTGTGGGGATGTCGACAGTCAGAGGTTTGCAGCAAGAGGGGCCGTCCCCACAGCATCATCCCGCCCATTTGGGTGTTTTTTTTTTAAGGGACGTATGTTAGTACCCGTCAGCTAGTGCTGCCTAACAATCCCAAAACTCAGTGACTTACAGCAGCAAGCATTTACGGTCAGGCTCAGAGATGTGCAGACACCCAGGGGCAGCTCGGACCCACGTGCCTCTTGCTTCCAGGGCCAGCCGTGTACTCGGGACCCTTTCCTCCTGCGGTCGTAGCAGAAACACCAGCGGAGAGCTCCATCAAGGAACTGGAGTTCATCCCCACTTGGGTCACACCTCCGCACACCCCGTTAGCCTGAGCAAGTCACGGCCAGTTCCCACGTGGATGGGGCCAGGGTGTATGCTCCTGGGAGGAGGGAATATTTGCTGAGTGAATATTCCTAAAAATCGCATAGTCATCTGTATATGAGCTACATACGTATCTATCGTTACTATCTTGCATTTACATATATTCTCTAAGGAAAAGCAGCTCACGAAAAATTAATAACGTTGCATCTCAGCAGCAGAACAGGGAGGCTGGGTCAGGATGGGAGAGAAGCTTCTCCACCTCCTGCTGCAAAGTCTGAATTCCCTAAGATGTGCATTTGCCATTTCACAGAAGAATCAAACCCTGCCTTAACATCCACGGGGGCCACAGGATGTTTGCATACGTATTATCTTATTTGGCATCCACACTAGGAGGGGGCACAGGCAGAAAAGTTGTCATGAGCCCACTCTGGATGAGAGGGAAACAGGTCCAGCCCATCAAGAGACTTGCCCCAGGCCAGAGGCTAAGAAAGGGCCAAGCCAGGGTTTGACACCAGACCCACCCCACGCCTCGGACCCAAGGCTCGACCACATCCCACATCGTGCAGACTGCTGTGGTCAGGGCCCGCCAACGCCATCCAGGGAAGGGTCTTCCCCTGGGTCCCAATGTACACCACGTGGGAGAGACTGTGTGGACAGCCCCTGGGGGAGCCTCTTGTCTAGCCTGGCCATCTTACAGATGGGCAAAGAGAGGCCCTGAATCACAAAGCACGTGCTTCCTTTTCCCTATGTCTCAGATGGGACCTTCACGCCCACCTGGCAGGGTGCTTGGGGGATCAGAGGAGACGGTGTATATGAGGGTTTTGCAACCAAGAGAACGTGAGGTAAGGTTTCGGGGACTCGCTCGCCCACAGGAGAGCCAGGAGACCGGCCCGGGAATGTGCACACGAGCCCCCACTGGCATGGCTGAGCTCTCGGGGTGAAAGCCACTGTTCTCAGGGGAAGCCACGGGGCTTTGAGCCCCTCAGGCAGGCGGGGGCCGGGCCGCTCTGCCAGGACGGGGGGAAACATGCATGTTCATCCTTGCAGCAAACATGTCCGAGAACAGGGTCCGTGGCAGACCTCACCCCCAAGCTGGGATGGGGCCTCTGTGAGCCCCTCCATGGCTCAGCACGGAAACCCCTCCCTTACCGAAGCTCAGTCACAGTGGATGCAGCGTTAGGAGCCTTCTCCTCCACTCCCACCCAGCGGGCCCCTCATCGTGAGTCCCCTCCCCACGCTGTCCCCAGAGGACAGGCCCCTCTCACCACCTTGCTCCCCCAAGACAAGGGCCGGCGGGAGCCTACGGAGGCACCAGATGCTGGTGGGTCCCCCACCAGGGTCCCACTTCAGCCATTTTCAACTTTGCATCAAATGGAAATTTCTTGAGCCGTGCTGAAAGCTTCCACAATGACTCATGTCGCCAAGCGAGCTCTGGGAACAAATAGATGCTAATTATTCTGTGGAAGGAAGACAAGTGGAGAATTTAAATAGGGAGTCCCACTAAGCAGACGATGGGAAATCTGAAGGCTCAGAAAGGCAGGGCCTGGCCTCCCCCTGCTCAGCCCGGAGGGGCGCCTCACAGGCCCAGGATCTGCAAAGACAACCCTCTGCCCGGCCCCCGGCCCCCAGGCCTCCCCACCCCCCAACCCGAGCTCTGCAGCCGAGCTGGGTTTACAGAGCCTCCTTTGTGCAACCCCTCGAAACCCGCAGGGAGCCCCACGATGCCCCCTCTAGGCCCGCCCCAGCAAGGGGGCCACACAGAAAGAGGTGGTGGCCCGTTAAGAAGGAGCAGGATTGGGGGGGAGCCTCTCAGCATCCCTCAACTTCCCCATCGACTCAGGAGGCTTAGCTCCAAAGTAGTTACTGAGCAACCAAGAACCACAGGTGAGGAACTGGGAGACCCCCCAAAAACATGGATCCCCCCCATGCCGGGGGAGTCAGATGTCAAGGGAGGAAGGGCCAGGCCGGTGTCCTGATTCCTGGCCCTCTTCCACCCATGTCACAGGGCAGGAGGACGGTATTAATGGCAGGAGCACATGGGGAGGGCTGCCCGTGCTTCCTCCCTGTCCCAACACAGAGAAAGGCCGTGCGCTCAGCCCCCGTCGGGGGCCCTGGCTCGACAGGGCCCGTCCCGGCACACAAGAGGCTGTCCAAGGGAGGAAGTCCCCTTTCCAGAAGAGGACTGACCCCGGCGTGTGTCCTGGACATCACAGCTCAGCCATCTCTGAGGACAAAATGCTCATCAGCCAGACCCACTGTCTGCCTGAGTTCTGGGTCCAGCTCTGAGTCTCTCGGGAGCTGTGTGACCCCGGGGTTTCCCCGAACCTCTCTGAGCCTGTGATCTCTCCGCCATGTAATGGGATCTAACACGGGGCCTCCGAAGGCACCGACGTAGGCCGCACTCTGCTCCGGACTAGCAAGGAGAGAGCAGAGGACGAAGTCATCACTGCGCCCAAGGAGGGACACACAGACAGGAGGGCTGGGACCACATGGGCGTCAGGAGAGATGCCTGGGGCATCAGCTGGGGCAGCCTGGAGGCATCCCACTGCTTTGACCCCATGAACTACGTCGGCACGTGAGCTCGGCCTTGGGGTCCCCGCTCTATCCGGATGCTCTCATTATGCAGAACCTCTCGACTGTCACAAAGCCCAGTCGCGGCCGGCCGGACGCTCTCCACCGCTGCATTTGTAACAGGCCCTCAGACCCCACTCCGGACACACACAGGTCACACCTCTGGCCCCAGAACCTCCCCAGACCCTCCCTCCGTCCTCTCTCCGCACTGGGGTCCTGCCTCCCAGGTGGCTTGGAGCCCCTGCTGCCCCAGGCCCAGCACGCCCTCGGAGCCCCTTGTTCTGCTTCACCCCCACTGCAGGGTGGCCAAGACCTCCCACCCCTGACCCTCTGACGGCCACAGGGGCCCCTTGGCCATGCTGCCTGCCCCCCAGAGTTTTCCGACAAGAGCACCTTTCTTCCCAGGACACACACCAGTTGCCATGGTGACTGGGTCCACAGGTTGGGCGGGTGGCCGACGGTCAAGCAGTGGCCACCATACCGTTTCTCCAGTGTTATCGGCTGTGCTGGACTTCTCCCGGGGCCCCTGCGGCTGTGGATGTGGAGGGACGGGGCCACCCAGGCCGCTGGGCACCCTCGTCCCAACGCCACGTCTGCAGGCCTCCTGGGGACCCGTGGGGGGAACTGATACCTGGGACCGAGCGCAGAGGCCGTCACTCACCTCCACCCACCGCAGACTCCAAATCTCAACCCCAGCCTGGCCATGACCTCGGCTCCAGGTGCGCCACCCTAAAAAATAACGGGAGGCCAGCATGGAAAACAGGAAGGAGTTTAATACAGCCCCAAATCCCCCTTCTCCCAGAGGAAGCCACTATAAGCTTGGAAGGTGTCCCCTTCTTGCTCTTTTTCCAAGATGTCAAGATTCTAAACAAAGAAAGACAGATGAAAACGTGGGAAGATAAGATAGTCGGAAGATACGTACAGACAGGTGCACCCCACCTTTTCCTTGTGACGTATGATGAGTGTTTCTCACGTCACCAGAATTCGTACACTGCTTTTAAGTGATTTGTAAAAACTTACCAGACGGATACACCGTCGCTCAGCGTTGTGTCTTAATGGGCAGGATATGAAGAGTGGATCTAATTTGGGATGGTCATAAACATCTCTGTCTCCATCTCTGATCATTTTCTTAGATTATCCTTCTGGAAATGCAACTCGTAAGACAAAGGGGATAAATATTTTAAGGCCTTCATAGACAGTTGCCAAGTGTCCTCTAAAAATGTGTTCTCCTATCAGCTATGTTTGAGAATTCTTGTTTTACTCTCTCCTGTATATCACAGCCTCAAAAAAGTAAATATATAGATACACACACATATATATATATGGACACACTCAAGAAATTGCAAGGCTCGGGGTTGCAATTAAAATAAATTGAAAAGCTCTGATTTTAAATGCAGTTTAAATTAAAAGGCTGTTCTTCGCCCAGCCCCAGCCTTGACGACACAGAGACCCCGCGTCTGAAGCCCAGGTCCAGGTGGAGAGCCTTTACACCCCGCTCTTCCTTGCTCCCCCTGCCCACTGCCGGCCGATGGCTCAAATGCCCTTGTTCCCAGAACCCACTTCCTAGCAATGCAAGGGGGCCATCTGTCATTCTTCCACAGAGCTCAGCTCAGCCAGATATCTCGTTCCACTCCTCCTACCAAGGACATGGCTCCACGGGCCGGTTCACCTCTCGGGCTCCATGGAGCACTCACAGAGCGGTGCACGGGAGCCGAGAGGCAAGGCCCAGTGCCTACCTTGCTGTGTGACCCCGGGCCCGTTACTGAGTGTCTCTGGGCCTGGGGTCCTCGTGTCTAGAGGAGGGAGCTGGACTCTACCACCTCCGAGGTCCACGCCCCCCTCTCTCTCTCTGTCTCTCTCTGTCTCTGGGCCCCAAATGAGACAGTAGCCGTCTGGGTCCTGCTTGGCCACAGCCTGACCGGCCGCCCCCGAGCCGTAAATGAACAGAACTGGAACACGTCCGTGGTCCCGCAGAGCCCGGCAACGCAGCAAGGGGCTGGAGCAGAGATGGGAGCGTGGGCAGCCGCTGGGGAAGCTCCCGGGCCGGTTCTCCGCATCCCCCAGGCTGCGACAAAGCCGGGCTGGGGGGCAGAGTCTGCAGGTGGAACCCTGCCCCTGGAAGGGAAAGAGCTGAAGGCAGAGGAGGCTCCCAGCCCCGCGGAGACCCCAGCAGTGGCTCCATCAGAGAGACTGTCTCCATCAGCCGGTGCTGAGAACAAAGGCGGGCCTGCTGTCTTTTCCATGGAAACCTGTGTTCCCAGATGTTCCTTTCCTGCTGAATATTTCCCAAGGATAACAAGTAGGAGGAGGGTTCACAGGATGGGCGTGGGGGTTCTGCAGATTTAAGAAATAGGAACAGCTGGTTTCAAAGACTCCCGCAAGGAGAAAAGGAGCTTTTGTTCTGTGTTACCCCCTGTGCTCGGGGTTTAAACGAAAGCGCCAATTGATTGATCAGCAGCGTCTCTTTAAAAGGACCGCAAACAAGGCGCTTTAGAGCGGGGTGCGCGGGCGTGTCTCCACTGTCCTGCCTCCGGATGAAAAATGCAATCCTATTTATTTCATGGCTCTCTGAACCTGACCTGGGATTTGGTTTCATTCTAGTAAGCTGAGACTTGCGAGAGCCCTGGGTGCCCGTGTGGTTCCTGGAAGTGAGGGATGCCGAAGACCGCGTCTTCCTGCGGCTCCAAGGGCTGCCTCCTGGCGGGGAAGGAAGCCGCCCATCCCGACTGTGATTCCTGGGGCAGATCACACAGGAGCGGCCATGGAGGGCTGGTGGGCCTGCGACCGCACCAGAGGTGCATAGAAATAAATGAGGCCCACGCTGAGTCCCCCGAGGCGGGCAGCACTTTGGTGGAACACTAACCATGAGCCACCTCAGGAGTTTAGCCCAAGCTGTGGCACCTCCCCGCCCCTGCAGCTGCCAGACGGACCCCGGCCCCTCACACCCACTGGGGATGCGTCCTGACCCCTCCCCCAAGAGACCCCACCCCACCTCTGCTGACACTGCACCCCCTGCCCCCGGAATATTCTGCTGTGTTCATGTCTTCCAAGAGTGGAGCGGAAGGAGGAGAGGGGGCTGGCCCACCCAGCAGCTGCTGAGTTAGGTCAGGTCTCCATGCTGATCCCCTCGGGACCCTCCTCCTTCCCCCTCTCCCAGCCATGTTCACCCTGCCCACGTGGCTGTGTCTACCCCCTTCGCTTTTCCCCAGGAGTGACTCCGCTCCCTGCAGAAATAACCAAATCTCAGCTCCCCCCCAATCCATCTCAGCTGGGGTCTTGCAAATTTTGCAGCCTGGGAGCTTGAAGGTTGGTGGCGTTTTTATAGCACAAGGCAATGAGCTCTCCCTGGAGGAAGCAGGGAGGCCTCTGCATGGGTCTGTGCCTCTGCAGGCCTGGCGTCCCCGAGCTGGACATCTCCGGTGACAGATCTCATGGCCCCCAAACGCAGCCGCGTGCAGCGGGGCCAGTGAGAAAATGCATTCATTCAACCCCCAGATGCTTCCTGAGTGCCTATGGGTGCAGGTACCGCTCACAGAATGGAGTCAGTGTATCCACGCTTCCTGCTGGTAACAGTTACAAAGTATCCAGCTCCACCAACGACTAATTTCACTTGGTGGATCTGGAAAGGTTTCCCCAAGGAAACCTGCCCAAGCAGAAAACAGAAGGATCGGTAGACATTGGCCAGAAGAAGGAGAGGCTGGTGCGAGCCGCCATCCCGGGTAAATCCCACACCCCCTCTCCCCTCCTCAGCCGCGAAGTGAGGGTGCTAGGCTCCCCCCTTATTTCCCAGGACTGCTGAGGGGCAGGGAGAAAGT